TAGCTCTATCAATCATTCTCCCAGTGATCAATTCTTAAAACTCACAACAAGAAGAGTAGAAATTAACTTGATACTAATTGTCAGAAGTAATTTTGCTAATATGCAATAGATTACAAAACAAGTTGGGAACATGGAACACATCACGAAGGGTTAACAACGATGTGAATTTGACAGTTCTTATCTCGACAATTATTGAGTGGGAACCATTGCCAATTTTGACTTTTTTATTGCCTTCACAAGGTCTATAAGATGACCCAATTATATGATCAATTGTGTCGGAATCAAGTATCCAAGAATACAAAAAATTAGGGTTAACACGTATTAATGCAGTGGATAGACAACTATCCTTCTGTACAAAAGACGAAGTTAGTGACAATTTTGGTGATTGAAACAACTTGTGTAGGTGCTCTAATTGCTCCTTGGTGAAATGTTTGCATCCCAGTAGGTAGAAGGTTCTTGAGTTTTATTAGTAGTGGCTTGATAGATTCAACTTTTAAGTTTGGATTTGGGTTTCCAATTTGTTGGTTCACGATGAAGCATCCAACATGCCTTGTTCATGTGCTATAATTTTTTGTAATGCTCACTCCACCATGGGTAGGGCAAAATGGTTTTGGAATTACTGAAAATAATAGAAATGGTAGAATTTCTTTGGGCGTTATTCATCGTCGATTTGTATGACATCATTAGAGACGAGAAGAGGACGAGCCCAAAAATTTGAGTCAATTTCGACCACTTTTTATTTCGGCTCTTAAATTTGAGTATTGGAGAAGTTGGCTATTTTAGCATCGAAGAAGCCGAAGGGTTGAAGGAGATTGAATATTTGATGGGCCTACTTTCGATCTAGTTCGATTCTCCTGTTCATGACACTCTGGAACAAATGCCTTCTCCTTGAAAACTAGAGGAGGAATGGAAAGAAGTATTCTTTCCCTCAAATTACAAATTTTAATGGCACCAAAGACCTAGAAGAAACCGGCAAAAAAGCCTACCGCCAAAAAACAAAAAAACAATGAAAGTGAAAGAAAAAATAGAGGTGGTGGATAATGTCCCTACTAGAAAGAATCTTGTGCTTAGAAGCGACTCCCAGGTCAAAAGAGAATGACAAGAAGTTCGGGTCTCTGAATGTTGCAATCCAGTAGTTTCTTTCCCTGCTAGCTCTAATAACGAATCTATTGCGAGGGTCTTTGAACGCCACAATCCAATTGTTGCCTTCCCAATGAGCTCTAATTGCGATGGTCTCGTGAGGGATCTCCAAATCTCGCGATGCAGTCGTTGCCTTCCCAACTAGCTATGATCGAGACTATATCATGAGAGGTCGATCACGAAGATAGTGGCATTGGGCGAACTCAGGAGGAAGGAGTCACACAACAAAATCGATCACAAAGATGATGGCATTGGGCTAACTCGGGAGGGAGTAGCAGTCACACAATAAAACCTACAGACAATCTCAATGGGATTTAGTCGCCTTTTCAAATGCGAAGATCGGCTCTAATATCATGTATTTGGTAGGGGAAAAATATTATTCCTCTTTAAGTTTCAATGACTCACAAGATAAATAAAAGGGGAAGACCATCACATTAAAAAATACACGAAGTCCTCATGTTATAAAAAGGACATAGTAATTACCAACAAATATCTAATTCTAAAAGCAATAAACTATTAAAAACAGAAAATAATAAAAATAAAAGATATCAAAAATGAAAATTCTTAAAATTCTGACAATTTCCATTAATGGTAAGTATTAAGTATGCCTCTTCTTATGCTTGTTAGAAAGTAGCTTACAAAAGCTATTCATGGTCAAATATGTTGATGTACATTTAATTATGACAATTCTAATTTATGAATCTCTTTTAAAATAAATTGAAGGTTGGAACAATGATGAAAATGCTTAAAAGATAAAATGTTTGAAATTTGCAGAATAATTTTAGTGCGTGTGATATTACTAGCTTTTAGCCAATATCCCTAAAGACGATGTAATAACTTGATGTGATAAATTTAAGCATATTATATTCATTCTATAGACGAATGTGGATATAAATGATGTAACTTTTGGAGTTAAGTTTGTTTGCTTAAATTTGAGAATTTTCATAGGAGTGTTATGTAATTAGAGAATATCATGAAGGCCAAAAACTAAGTTCAATAAAAATTTGTTCTCAGTGTGTGGGAAATAAAGAAATCATTGATAAAAAAATTAATTTTAGATGAAATGAAAATGTTAAGATGGATATATGTCAAAATTAATGATTTGATACTTATATCAGAGGGATGGTTGGTGTAGTATCTTTTGAAGATAAATTATTGGATAATAAACTTATATGGTTTGAGCATGCATAATGAAGAGTAAATTGCACCTATGAAAGACATAAATTAATGCAAAAGGATTTGAAAGAAAAAAATATAGACTAAAGGAAATTTTGGTAGAAGTCATGCTACAATATTTTTGTAAAATTGATGTATTGCATTATAGGCTTATCACAAGTTATATAAAATATAAGTTATGATAATGACCAACTTTGAATGCATGTGAATGCATGCGTTTTTGTTCATGTTAACATGTGAGTAAAAATATTCTTTGTTATTGAATTTATTTGTTGGGTTTAGGAAACTCTGGGATAAATGTAATATATGCATAAGGGCGTAAAGTTAATATAGGGGTAATCAGTAAGTCTTAAGGTGTAAGGACAGTGGAGACTAGTCAAGACTTTGCATTGGCTAAAATTTGCCAAGGATAGTTCTTTATGTACTCATGGTTTGGTGTGAGTCTCATGGAAGTCAGCATGAGTTGAAACCTAAACTCCGAGATGGCCAAGGAGAGCTCTAAAATCAGTCCAAGTCAACTGTAAGTGCCACATCAACCATGATCCACAAATCAAGGGGCTGCTTCCTTCTCCCCTACATTTTATAATTTTGAAATTTAAATTTTGAAATTCATTAGAACTTGTTTAATTATGTTGTTATTGCTTTGGGGCATCATTTTTTAACATTTGGATGGAAATGGTTAATTATTTTCTAGATTTTTCTCTCTTCACTTGGATTTAGTGGCCGATAGGCATATTTTTTGATAAAATGTTATTTAAGCATTTTTTTAAATTTTGAATTAAATTTTATTATCTAATCTTCCCCAATCTCTTCTCATCCCAATAAAGTAAATTTAACCATGTGTTTGGAGAAGAGAAAATAATCAAAATGGTTCCCTGATTACTTGTGAGGGGCTATTTTAGGACTGGATAAAAAGTTTGATTTGGTCATGCTAATTCTTAATGTAGGAGCCAAAATAATCTTGCCATTAAAATTAAAAAAAAAATTGATGTTATAGTTACTAATTGGTGTTAAAATGCTGGTATTTTAGTAATTTACATCTTTTTCTTAAATTTTTTATAAATTTTAATATACTAAACTTATTTGGGATAGAATTTAGCGATAACATTCTCAATATTTTTTATTCATTTTCTTATGTTCTATGATTACATATTAAAATTTTAAATTATGGCAATCAGTGGTAATAAATTTCTTACAAAATATCTCAAACTTAAAAAAATCCACTTAATAGATTTTATAAAAAAAAAATATATTTAAATTCCTAAGATACTCTCATTTTTAGCATCACTAGTTTATTGTAACATAATATTTTGTTATTTTTCATAATTGGGTCATTTTGACTTCTAATTTACAAGAACAAGGACTAAAGCAGATCTTTTATATAGTCCGTGACAAAATTTGGCCTTCCACAAATAGTTGGAGGATCATTTTATTTCTTTTCTTTTTTAGAAAATATCAAAGAACTAGAGCCAAACATCCACTCAACCAAAATTATGGTTTTATGACCTAATTTTAATATTGCTTCGAGTTCTTGACCCTAATAACCTAGAATATTTTGCACAAACTCCATATTTTATTTTTTGCTTTAGTCTCTCCATCTGCAAACACTCTAATTTAGTCAAGGCACACTGAGTCTCCTCTTTTTTGGTGGATCTAACCCTTTTCACCTTCAATCGTAAACTCCCCCACTCCACTCATGTGAGTTCGAACACAAAGAACCATTTCCACAACAAACTAAAGATCTTGGAATAATCTAATTTGAAGCGCTACCAAAAATTGGTTTAAGACGTAATTTTGAGCTTGACATCAATGAATGAAAGATGAGAATTTCTAAAGCTAACCCGAAATTGCTGGGATAAGCTAATGCTGATGATGATGATCTAAAATATACAATTGAACTTATTATGTTGTGCCACTATTCTAGGAGTCGTGTAAAGTATATAAACATTAATTTAGTGACCATCTTATTACTATATTTTTGTCTATGATGATATTTGGCAGTAATCTACTCATGTTATTGTGCAACATAGTAATTACATAAAGCTAACGTCTAACTTGATATTAATTACCGTACCACCTATAATGATCTTCTTAGTAAAACATTAATATGATTAGAGTTACAGTCTGCTATAATATTTTAAGTAATTCAGCTTATTCTTATGAAAAGTCTACATATTGTTATCATCAATTAATGGAGGTCAAATAGTTCTTTTTTAGACAACAAAGAATATACTACGAAATAAAGACTGGGTGAAAAATTTGAATTCACATCAAAATCAAGTGATACCTTTTGACTTTTTTTGAAGTATGTTGGATTTAACAGCTTGATTAATTATATTTTATGCATTCTGATGAACATATTGCGGGGTGTTTCTGCTGGAGTTGAAGATTTTTAGACTTCATTCCTTTTTTTTGTCAGTTCCTTGAGAATTTCAGAAAACTAAGGCAAAACTTGAAAAAATGAACAGAAGTAACACTACAGATTATGGTTTCAATAATAATAAAGAATATGTATTCTTGCTTGATGAAGTTAATGGTTTCAATAATAATAAAGAATATGTATTCTTGCTTGATAAAGTTAAATGAGCTCGACAATTATGAAAAATCTAGTTTGTTTAACTATTGCAACTTGCTGTTTCTCTTAGTTGCAGTACTCAAAAAATTCAGTTATTTTACCTCTGTAGATTATTGCCATCAAGGACATCATCCGCCCTCCCCTAAGGGAAAACTTCAATGATGTATATATTGTTTATGAACTGATGGATACTGACCTTCAGCAGATAATTCGTTCTAATCAGCAATTGACAGATGATCATTGCCAGGTTCCCTGCTTCTCTTTTTCTAGCTATTTTTGGTCATTAAAATATGATTTTGACTTGTATTTATGATTTTTTTTTTTGACTTGGGACAACATTAAGTACTTTCATATTTCATACATCTATCTAATTGCTTGCAGTGTGACAAAAGAGTTTTTTAATGCATATAAATCTTATGAGACAGCTTTTTGGCTTGCAGTATTTTCTTTATCAGATTTTACGAGGATTAAAATATGTTCATTCTGCACATGTTTTACACCGTGACCTCAAGCCAAGCAATTTGCTGCTAAATGCGAACTGTGATCTTAAGATAGGAGATTTTGGCCTTGCCAGGACGACATCAGAAACCGATTTCATGACGGAGTATGTTGTTACTCGTTGGTATCGAGCACCTGAACTTCTATTAAATTGTTCAGAGTATACTGCTGCTATTGATATTTGGTCAGTGGGGTGCATACTTGGTGAGATTGTAACTCGAGAACCTCTATTTCCAGGCAGAGACTATGTTCATCAATTAAGGTTGATCACAGAGGTATGATTTTGGTAATTGCTTTCAGCCATGATGTTTATGATGTTTACTTTGTAGTTTGTACTTTAATGTTTCCTGAAGCCAACCGCAATTTTGTCTGTACTATTAACTTGTTTTCTTATGTAGTTACATGTTATTAAGGCCAACCACAATCTTTTTTCTGTGCCTGTAACTTCTCTTGGTTAATTTAATTAGTTATTCAGAAAAAAGGAAAAAAAAGCATACAAAATCCTCTCAAATATTATTACACTAGGTCTTGCAATGATTTTCTTCATTTTATATATCTTGATACAGTAGGTTTATTTGGTATAGGCCAGCCTCTAGTAAAATGTTTTTCGTTGAATGAGAAAGATTTTCTCTCCGATATTTGCCACATTTCCCTAACTGTTACCATTGAGTCTTCTATACTATGGGTTCTTGTTTTTTTTTCTTATGATTGTCATGTGTTTGAGTCCTATACTTGAAAGAATTGAACTCAAACCTTTCATGTTTATACTCTTCATGTTTAAGGTTAATCCATATGCTTACAAAATATATTTTTATTTTTCATACAAAATATGATTTGACAGAATTTTTTATCATGCAAAAAATATTAACAATATGAACTTAATTATATATGAATTATTTATACTTGAAATAACTCAAGACTTATATACTCAAAGGCCAAACTTATGAAATTACATGCTTCTAGAGGGAATATATTCATTCTAGAGACACTTATATGTTTATGAATATAATTCCTGCTTAGGCTAAGTTGTTCAAAAGTGTCTTGCAAAGCTTATGTAAGTTCTTTAATTATTGAGCTCAAGGAGAATACTTGAAATGTCTCTTTTAGATTAGATTTCTTTAGTTTTGTTTTAGTTTGTTATGTTCATAAAGTTTTGAGTTTATTTTGTTTTTTGGAAAAGTTTTAATAAGGTTAAAAATGATTTTACATTTCATTACAAATTTTAAGTTTTGGCTTTATTAAAAAGGTTTTAGTTAAGTTTTATTAACAAGATTTTGATTTAGATTTTAGGCTAAGGCTTTCAAAAAAAGATTGTAATTTTGGAGATTTTATATTAAGGTTTATTAAAAGGTCTTTAATTTTAAAATATTAAATTTTTTTTTAAAAAAAATTAAGTTTTATTAAATAGGTTTTAATTTTATTGAAGATTTTGAGTTTAAAAGATTTTAGTTTTAAAAGAAGGGTTTAATTTTGAGACTTTTTAAAAATAATAAGATTTATTAAAAAGTTTTAATTTTGAATAAGGTTTTTTTTTAGATTTAATTTTTAAATGTTTTAATTTATTTTATAAAGGTTTTAATTTTATGAGAAATATTTTAATATTTTGAGAAATCCTCTTCAAATTTTATTTCAGATCATTTCCAAAAAAAGGTTCTTTTTAAAGAGGTAATCTTGAGCTTGAACCTTCACAAATTTTGAAAATTTTTCTATTTTTGAGCACATTTAGTTGATATAGAAAATGTTTCTTAAGTTTGCATAATATCGTTATTTTTGAAAAGGATATCATTAGAGTACATTTAATTTACATATAATTTATAAAAAAAATTATTCTCTTTTATCTATTTATTTATTTATTTTATTTTTTGCACACAACTTTAACTGGGCTCCCTCTCTCACTTTAGCTAAGGAGTTGAATTCTTTCTCCTATAAATAACATCAATCACTCAACTTGTGTTATTCTAAGTTCACATTTTACACGTGAAACCATCCCAACTTGCATATTTAACTTGCTAAATCCCAACTTGCTTGCGACTTATTAAAACTCAACTTGCATAGGAATGTAAAGACTGATCCAACTTGCTTTGCAAACTTATTAAAACTCAACTTGCATTGGAATATAAAAACTCATCCAGCTTGCATATATGTAAAATTAAAGCTCTTCCAATATGCTTTGCAAATTCATCAACTCTCCCAACTTGCATAACATTGAAACATGAATGAAAAAATCTATGGATTTGCATAGATTGGTTAACATAGAACATAAGATGGAGGAAGAGAATGGGAGGGATGATTTCAATGGAGAATGAGCGAAAAAATGAGGAGAGTGGTAATGGTTTTGGGGGAAGAGGGGTTATGGGATATTTTTTTTTTGGGGGGTGGGGGGCGGCGGTAGTTATGGGATGATGTAGAGGAATGGATGGATAGGATGGAGGGAAGAGAGAAATGTAGGGAGTGGATTTGATTAAGATGGAGGGGAGAGAAGGGAGTGGATTTGATTAAGTGTAGGAGAGAGAGAGGAGGGGGGAGGGGGATTGGTGATGTGGACGAGTGGGAGGAGAGGGAGTGGATTGGTGAGGTGGAGAGAGGAGAGTGGTTGGATGGAGGAGGCTAAAGGAGATAATGGAGGGCTAGGATTCAACGACTTGGAGGGGATTTACCAAAATGGGAGGGGTATTTAGATAATTTGTCAAGGTATTTAGAGTAGTTATGCCGAAATGCGAGTGTATTTCATTTGAAACGGGATGAAACAATGAATTCAATAGTCCAAACCATTTTTGAAAAGGGTGTGTAGCTCAAGTTATGGGCTTTTTAAGTGGCTGTTAAAAGCTTGTTATAAGGTGGTTAAAAGTTGGTTGTGGTTAAAATCGTTGACTTGGGCTCATTTGTTAGAGAAAAATACAAGGAATTTAGTAGTACAAGTGTTTGTGATCAAAACGAGCTCCATGTCAAGATACTTTAAGTCCAAGTGAGCATAAACTATTAGGAGAGAGAAAATGATAGATTTTGAGTTAAAGTTTTCAATTAATTTTATTAGACCAAATTGGCAATTTTTTTTTTAATTTAGATCAACTTTGGTTGAAGTCCGATTTTATTTTGAGGTCATTTTGAGCTAGTTTTGACCAAATTATTTTTTATTATCAAACTTATCAATTTTCTCTCTCCTGATTATTATTGGACCAAGGGCCTCCAAAGGGAGTTAGATTTAGGCACGGAGGGGCTCATTTGAAAAGTTTCAGCAATATGGACGCAAAGACGAATTTTGTTTTGAAAAATATTAACTCATTGAAAATTTTATGTGGGACTATTTTTCATGCATGAAAACTCTGTGTATAATTTTACGTAAAAAGGTGTACGGTACCACCAAACTAATTTGCATGTTTGTCATATGTCATTACGAAGATAGTGCAACTTACAGAATATATTTTGAATCTCCAGATCGACCTGTGGATAAAACTATAATTTTAGGATTAACACTATTCATTTATGAAAATTGAGCTTGAGAATTTTAAGTAAAAATTATTTCTAACAATCGTCGAACTTTTTTGCATGGTTTTTATATGTGATAATAAGTATCATACAATTTTCAAAATAAAGTTTTGAGTCCTACAATAACATCGGGAGAGAAAATGATAATATCAGGTTAACTTTAGGTCAACTTTAATGTTTGATGAAAACCTGATTATATTTGAAGCTTGTTTTGGTTAAGTTTAATTTTGTTAAGTTAAATCTTAGTTTTATTAAATTAGTGTTTGCTCAAGAATCAACTCAAATGAAATTCTGTTAAAATATAAATCAAAAAAGAACTTGCCTGAAAGATGGGGTCAACTCTAATATTTAGACTTGTATTATAATACTTTCGCAAGATGATAATAAGTATTTATATTTCATTATTTGAGGTTGAACATACCATCATAGATGACGTGCAAGCAGATCAATAGACAATGCATATATTCTTTGTTAGATGGAAGGATAAGTCACCAAGTAAGGATATTCGGATGATGAAGGAGGAGCTACAAAAGCTTCCATCTAAGCTAGCAAATGATTATCTTGATTTCAACTCTTCAACGAAGAGCTTTTTGTGGAGTAAGAGAATTGATGTAGCAAAAAGTGCAAATGAAAAAGAGGGGGCTATTTACAATGGTTTAAAGCAAGAAGAATGTTGCAGCTGGTTAAAGGCAATTTACCAGGAGCAAAAACAAAAAACTTTATTTATGATTAATTTTCATTTTATATGTTTTATGATTGAATTAAGGCTATTTGTTTGTATTTTTCATTTGAAGCTATCGTCATATATTAAAAAAAATTTTAAATTTAAAATTTAAAATTAAAAAATTTTAAACCTTGAAGTTTGAATTTTCAAATTTGAGAAAATATGATGTAAATTTAATAGAAAAATTTTTATTTTCCTAAAAAAGACTTAATCCATTTTTTTTTTATTTTGTTAAGCCAAAACAATTTGAAGGGGTACTTTATATCACCCACTTAAAATTAAAATAACTCTGGCCACCTTCTCTTTCTCTCCCTTTGTCATTTGAACTAAATGTTGTAATAATTATGAAGCGGTTGAAAAATAAAATGGATAGGTTGTTGCAATGATAATTCATTTGTAGTCAATTTCAAGCAAGCAGGGCTTGGTGGTTTGGCCTCTCTAATGAAGAAGTTGGATGATCCTCTTCACAGATGAATGTTAGTTTTTTTATTTTTAAAATTTTTGAATTTTTTCATTTCTAATATTTTTGTCTCAATTCTTTTTTGTTTCTTGCTGTAGATCTTTTCTATAAATCATCATTCATCAAATAAAGTTATTTCCCCATCGAAGAACCATGAAAATCTAATGAAACTCTAATATGGATTGTCATTGAAAGGCTTGCTTCTACAATACCTAGTGTTGTTCAGTCTAAACACCTTGTAGATTGTTAAGTTTTTCAGAAATATTCTAGACATAATTCTCCAACAGTACCATTCGTTTTTAAAACCTTTTTCCTTAACTCTAATCCATTTAAAATAAAAAAAATTACTCTTCAGTGTTCGACCATACTAAGCTTTCGATCTAGTCTTATATAAAATCTGAAAAAAATACTTAATTTTTGTAAAATCTTGTAACTTTTAAGATTATATTTAGATCTTTTACCCTAACATTTTAAAGTAATTTTAAGGCCTAGAGTTGTCTGATTCTCTCACTCTCTTTTAAAAGTTAGGGGCAATTACATACAGGCCACCAAAATATTGCTATTTACAAATCAAGCTCCCTCTTTCATCCATTTTCTAAAATCTCACTCAAATATTAAAGGTCGTGATTAAACCCCAACCCATATTTTTATTTTTATCAAATTCACAATGGTTTGATCGTGGCACACATAAATACATTGGTTTGATAATTCAAAAAATCACCAAGGTGCTTGATTTGTAAATAACAATTTTGTAAATAGGAATGGTTCTTGTGCTCTGTATGCAAATATCCCTAAAAGTTAATGCTAGTAGCTCTCAGGTTGGCCCTCTGATTACTCCAGGGACTGAACCCCTTTTGTATCCATCTCTTAATTCTTCATAACCTCCAACCTGTTTGAGTTCTACACTTTTCCTAGCCCTCTTGGGAAGATCTTTAAACAATTTTTAGCTTTCATTGAGTTTGCTTACCTCAAGCCACACCATCTGGGACAAATAATCACTAGTTTCACTCGCAACTATTTTAGACGTCCAATCGAATCCAAGAGTCCATAACTCTTGACTGAATATTTAGCTCAATGGAGAGGTCTAGCTCGTAAAGGCACTATCTGGATTCCTGCACAAGACCTTCTAAACCACCTATCGTATGCTGATATTGGGGACAAGGTTCATCTTGAACGAGAGGGAATTTGTTGGGATGAATAACGACAAAGATGTTTCCAGTGACAACAAATCCTTAAACAACAAAAAAAAATGAGAAGCAATTGGTGATGAGTGGATGAAAATCACCCGCATGGCAAGCTGACTTTCACATGGGAAAAGGATAGAATGTGTCATTTTAAAACAATAACAAACAAATATCTTAAATATCCCTTTAAGGCTGTTTAGAATTTTATTTTGCTATTGCTATGAGCGTTCATTTGCTATTGGGGAAGTTAAAATGTTGTGCCAGGGGGGAAGTTAAAAATGCCAGAGCCTTCTTTCTTATTCTCTTTTATGCCTAGTATTTTATGCTTGAAGATTGAGTAAAATATAATGCACCGATACCTATTTATCTTTTGAATTTTATTCAAATAAGGTTGTCTTTATGCATTAATCGGCTTGATGATGCCTGTATGTGCCTGAGTATGTGCACTGCAGTTTTTTAGCTAGCAGCTATTTGTGTGCATGAGCAAATGCAGGAATGTGCTTTCATAGTCTGTTTTTGTTGTTACTGCAATGTCGTCATCATTATTATTGTCATTATAGTCAGGTGCTGCAGCTTCTTTATCCAGCTATTTTGTTCAGCTCTTTGAATCCCTTATTTTCAAACATTCCTGTCAAGTTCTTCATATGGTGATGACTCTAGTTTATTCAAGTCTTTGCAATCAGTTTTGCTCTAGTTTATTTCTCCTTCATATTTAGTTTAAATAACCATTTATTTCTTCGTGCTAGCAATTGCTTTCTAACATCTTTATTTACATGTTCTATCTAAATTCCCTGTTAATCTATTTCTTATAGCAATGTCTTCAAATTAGATGCTCCAAAGCCTCCCTTGTGTAATAACATTATCATTGATCTTTTTTTTAATTTTTAGTAAAATATGTATTGACAGTTTATTATTGCTACATTGAACTCTCTTTGTGCTTCTTTTAGTACCAACCTGTTCAATTTAGTCACAAATCTATCCGTTTTCTTAACTCTGCTATGACAACTTTTTCTCTTCTGTTTCAATTATGACTTTACCAGAATCTCCTTTTGTCAGGATTTTTTCTTATACTCCGTTATGAGCTAGGACTGGATCATTTAATCGTCCATGAGCTGAGCTTATTTGCTAAATACCTTGGAGCTTGAGCTTTACATGACATGATTTATCAATTTTTTTTCTTAAATTTGTTCTACGCTGTGTTGGTTCATGAGCTGCATTTTCTTTTTCATTTGTTAAATAAGCTGGAGATTCAGTTTTGCATGGGGGACCTGTACTCATTTTATTTGCTCAATATTATATTTCTGTTCATGTACTGAGCTCATTTGCTAAATAACTTGGAGCTTTACAACTTTACATGACGTGATTCATAGACTCATTTTATTTACTTCAATACTATTTCTTGCTTATTTTAGCATAACTTAGTCATAATTGCAACATTCAGGGTGAGCTTTAGTAGAACTATATTTCTTGTGAGTGTTCTTTTGCTCGAGGAAACTTGTATTTTCATGCAAGCTCCCCATGCTGCTACTGTGAATCAGACTCGTAGACAGGAGGGCGTCGAACATAACCTTACAATAAATCCTGATGAAAGACCAAAAGTTTAATTTGGCATAATACGAAAAGTGCTGCTTTAAAATTACTAAATTACTGGTTTAGGAATAAATAAATGCTGCGAGATAACAAAATTAATGTTTTACTAATTTTCATGAACTCTACTATACAAGCACACGAACACAAGAAAGAAAACTAAAGTTGATGCCCTGTTCTTTCTTTCCAAATTCGTTCTCAGTACGTTTGAGTAATCCTTTGATTTGATTTCTCTGATTTCAAAGGCAATCTTTGAAGGAAGCACCACATTAGTACGAATTCATTTCACCTTTCTCGGATTCTCTCTACCTGCGCTTTCAACTCCTGTCTCTTCTCACACCTGTACTCTATCATCCTCAATTCCTCATCAATTTTGCTTCTCTGTCCAGTCATCAGGACTCATGTCCCCTTAACATTCTTCCCTTTTCTTCTCCTGCTATCCGCTCTCTATTTGCCTCTCTGTTCTCTCCATATCACCTCATCATCTTTATTGCTCCTACCATACCTGTCAAACTAGTGTTCATTCTCAAGGTGTTGAGATATCTTGGGTTCTTCCCCATGCTTCCCCGTTTTGTGATTTAATATGTAATTACATCTAGTTTCTTTTTTAATAAGAAACACGTTAAACATAGTCTTTAAAACAACACTCTCTAAGCCCACCATGAACCATTATATATCAATAGAATAACTGTAAAATACTGGTAAATTCTTGTGCTTTCTGTGATATCTTTCTTCGGGCTTTTCCTGGAAACTTCTTGATGTGGATATCCCCTTGGCAGGGTTCTCTTCCTCTCCAGTTCTTTTCACCGTGAAGCACTTTCTGATTAATATTCTTGGTTTGACAAGGCGCATAAATTATAGGCTAGTCAAATCGCTGATTGGCACTGTAACATATCTGCATTGCTAGAAGTTGCAACATGGTGAATGACGTTCATATCGTGTTCAAAGCTATTACCTTGCTAAGTTTTCTTAAGTTGGCTATTAAAAATACGTGACATTGGTCATTTGGTTTGCAGGGAAGTGGAGTATTCAAACCTCAGACTAACCATAACCTTAACCAGAATTGAGCCTAATATTCTTGTTATTTGAGTAAAAGAAGGAAAATGAAATGCCAACTTTTCTTTCTTTTATACTTTTAAGTTTAGAACCGCATTATTATGATAAATGAAACAGGCAAACTAAAGCATCATTGCCTTGGCTATAACTCTATATTAGCCGAGACGGTCCACTAAAGCATCATGGCCTTGGCTATAACTCTATATTAGCCGAGACGGTCCCACATTGTCACATTGAGGTGGCTGAAGTAGATAGGCCACTATTAGTTAATTGCTATTTTTCTACTTTGTGGCAGTGAATATTTAAGCCTTCTAAAGGGAATGAGCTTGTTTATTTTATTCTTGTATGGACCATTTATTATATATGTTTGCACCTAATATAGAGAGAATTTTTTCTGTATCAATTGATTTATGGATGCTTGTTTCCAACATGTCCCACTATTATAACTTTTTGGAGTTTGTGTAAAGGATGATTACAACAATGTATCTTTGCCATTATTCTTAATTTACAGCTTATAGGCTCCCCAGATGACACAAGCCTGGGTTTTCTCCGAAGCGATAACGCCAGGAGATACGTAAAGCAGCTCCCTCGGTATCCAAGGCAAAGATTCAGTGCCAGATTCCCAAATACGTCCTATGGCGCTGTCGATTTACTGGAGAAAATGCTCGTTTTTGATCCGAGCCAGAGAATTACAGGTATCCCTATGCTTTCAACCAGTGCTCATAACAACTAAACTAAATCTGCATCTTGTTCATGCAGTTGATGATGCCCTACGCCACCCATATCTGGCATCTCTCCATGAAATAAATGAAGAGCCAGTGTGCCCTACCCCTTTCAACTTCGATTTTGAGCACCCATCACTCACAGAGGAGGACATCAAGGAGCTTATCTGGATGGAATCATTTAATTTCAATCCTGACCTAATGCGGTAGAATTTCGCTTGATCTATTGAGGGTAAAGGGTTCAGTATTTTTTGTTCTGGGGCTGGAATTGTGATATCATTAGCCTTCTAGACTGAATGGAAACAAGTTCTACAAACGATTTTATCTTTCTGAGAAGAGTATTTTCTGTTTCTTTCTACCTCTATCATCATATATTTTTTTTCTGGGTGAAGCCAAGAGAGATTTGCTGCACCCTCTGATTTGGAGAATAGGAAGGATAAACTTGTAGCACTGCGTAGTATATGGGTAGCACCTGTTCCTGTAATGTTTGTGAGCTGCTTTGTTTATGGAAACTAGACAATTTAATTTCTGTAATAAAATGTGCAAGGATATTGTGCTGTAATTTCATCTCTTTTTTCTGATTTTATGATCATGCATGACAAATATTTAGATTTGCTCCATATAACAGTACTGTTAATAGAAGCCTAAATGTAAAATTGTACCATTTGAGATAGTTGCAGAATATTCTTATATGACTTTTCAAAAACATCTTACCTTTTTAGAGATTCATTTCATTTTGCAATGTAGAAGGTAAAGAATCCATTTGTTTTGTTCCAGTAGGTTCCAACCTCATTTTTCACTATTTATGGATCCTTTTTGTAGAATTCTATTCTAACTTGTTGAGGGGGCAAAAATATTTACATTCAGACTCTGAATGCGTTCTAATAATGGGGTGTCACGTAGCAAGTGAGCCTCAATATTTTAAAATGGGGGCTCTTGTCACCTCGTGTTTCACCATGAATGAATCTAAGTTGTTAAAAAATGTGGCAATTTTTTAAGGTATCAGATAATGTTCGAAAAACGACAGGTGGGCCAGATTCTAGTTTCAATGACGTGCAGGTGTAGAGATGACATTTCTAATCTAACATTTACCATAATTTGGATCGGATTTGAAATGACCTTTAAAAAGTAAATTAGAAAACCTAACCCAGAGCACGCCATACATAGTAATATGTGCGGATGTCCAATCAGCATGTAATGCATGGGGAGTACATTCTAATATGTACAGTAATATACGAATTTTACTGGTCCGTACATTGTTAGTACGCATGTAATGTTGCCACCAGGACAATGGATAAATAATGGAAAAATTATTGCATGCATGTATGCGGTGTCAGATTTTGATTGTACGGTCGTGATATGTTTCGGTTGACCCTACTTAAAAAAAAATTTTAAAAAAAAATTAAAATATATTTTGACTGTAGATCACTGTGATCTAAGGTCAGATAGGTAAAAAATTATTGCAATACGGTGTTCAATCTCTATCGTCTATCACAGTAAAGGTGTATGACGATTAAAACTATTTTGAATTAAAAAAAAAGATAAAAATTCAAAATAAAATAAAAAAATTTGTTGTGATGAACAGCGGAGATCGGACACCGTATGTATTTTTGCATACGGTATCATCGATATATTTCAATAGAAATAAATGCTTAGCATGAGCTTTCAAAAAATAAATAAGTAAATAATCAGCATTGCGAGATAAGTTATCAATTAAGTACATAAAAATTTAATATAAATTAGTTTAGAGTGGACACGATATAAATAGTATGAGATTATATGAAAAAGTTGAAATAATTTCTATTGCGAACTTAGGAATAGGAAGTACTTCGGCTTGCTTTCAAATTTTAGCCTGTTCTTTCCAATATGGATGAAAGGAAAGGATTTATTTTTATGAGGTATTCTTGTCCAATAGAAAACTCTTTTTGAAAATTATATGCATGCTCAAATTTTTTTTTTTTTTTCAAAATAAAAATTTAATTAGAAGTTAATAAATAAATTATTGATTTCAGTGATTTTCGAAGGATATTGTCTTTTGATTTTGAGAAGGGAGATTGCTCAACTTTGAAATATAATTTAATAAGGTTGGTGAAGGTGAAAAAGTAGCAATTGAGAGTTTTAGAAGTGTTCAAAATTGTCATACAATAGGCATGAATATTTAGATGATATGCATAATGTATGAGTTGACCATTTTTTTAAAAATTTGTGATTATATTCTATTAAGGTATAATTGGAAAAAAGTCTTACATCACTCGAGAGGATATCGCTCCTATGTCCTAGATATAAGGTGAGAATGACTAAAGAGTAGTATTTTGTACTTAAATCTCCTATGTTTTTATGCAAAAGAGATATAAATTAAAAGCTAAAAAAAAGATTGATAATCCTGATACATTAGTCTTAAAATCTTATCTTAAAATGCTTGATAGTTAAACCTAGCTAAGTAATTTAAAGTCCATGATGCAATGTTCTCCATATAAATATAAAAGTTATAAAGTGGCTTTAATAAGAATCGAGTCTTATAACTTAACCATCAAAGTAAGCAACTTGACCATTTGAGTATCATTGTTGATTTGTTAATGGAGGTTTCTTTATATATTCATTCATAAGTGAAATAATAACTATTCAAAGCATATGACTTTATAAGGCTTGCATATATGTTCATTATTCAAAATGAGTTGAATGCTAACCTGATGTTAAGTGCATCATTATGGATAAGATAACTTACTAAATACTAACTTATCTTTAATTAATGTAGAACACCAAGATAATTTTGATGGCTCCATAACAAGATCAAGATAAAGTGGTTAACACAAAATTGAAGGTACGAATTACAAGATCTCGATAAAGTGCTCAACACAAAATCAAGGGTAAAAAACTCATTATCAAGTAATAAAGTGCTTTAATATGGAACTTAAAAATTAAAATAAAATTTAAATTTTTTTTAGTTTCATTAATTTGTTTTTAGATTTTTGAATTTAAACATTAAAAATGATGTAATACTTTAAATATTTTTATAGAAAAACATATGTATTATTTTTAATAGTCCTTATTCAGCCTATGTCAAGTAATATTTATCTGAACCATCTTTCTTATGTGCCCAGGTTAGTAAGAACTTGCAAAATATAGATTCATAGTTATTTTATCCAATTTAGTACAATAATATAACACTTACAAGAAGTATATTTTTATCCTAAAGCCACATTTATATGATAATTATATACCTTGGTAGTTTACTTATTAGTAGTTATTCACTTGAATAGTTAAAAGACGCTAAGTAAATAAAATAAATGGTTATATTAGGCATAAGATCAAATTCTTTGGATGATTATTAACATTGCTGAAAAAGGAGGAATAATTTCTCTAAATCATATGTGTACATGATGTTATCATCAAATGATTTGAATAAGAGAGATAAGAACCACACTTATATAGAATAAATAAATATATTTAGTAATAATGTTGAAACTAATTCATTATAATATTAAAATAAAAACAACAAAAAGAAAATGATAGAACCTCAAACCATTAATTTTAAGGGCAAGCAAGCAAGTTCTCATTGACTCAAAGATTTGATCATGATTTGAACTTAAATCAAATTTATTGAAAAATTTTATACTTGACTAAAATTTAATGTGAAATTGACTCGAAAAATACACATGCTAATATAAAATGACATTATACATTACATTAAATCGGTTATTTGGGTTGAGTTTAAATAAATTCAAATAACGAGTCATGTTTGAATCATGTAAATTTGAGTCGGATCAAATGTGAATAACGCTTGAATTAACACCTCTATTACATCATTTCAAAAAATTTTGAACAAACAAATTAATACAAACATATTTGTTATTATTGAAACAACACTTAATTTTAATTTTGAAAGTGTGCACCGCTTGTAACGTTAGAGATATATTTATTATGAAAAGAAAATAATAAAAGTAGATTGAAAAATAAAAAGTAAAAAAATAGTTGACTCGAGGGATTGAGGGTATAACTTCTTTTCTGTGAGGTCACAAATTACATATATTATTTTTTGAGACCAACTTTCTAAAAAGATTAATAATAAACGATGTGGTTGTTAATTTAAATTTTTAGTAGCTTGTCTTCTTGGGTACTCGTGGAGGCAAATGTGTTGGATGAAAATTTCTTCATCTTTAATAAGGAGCAAATATTATGTACAATATTTGCATGTGTGTATTGACGCTATTGGGGTGGTATTCACATCAATACCAACCCAATATCATCCCAATATCACCAAATCTGTACCTATCTTAACCAGATATAATATTTTTTCTTTAACAAGGATAATGTGGAAGAAGATCAATGCCATAATGAGTTACAGAGCTAATTTAATAGTGGAGCAGTTTCTCTTCGAGGATGATTTGATATCGTTCTTTGTCGATTAAATTGAAGCAACAAGAAACCATCTTATTTGTTAGCTTCTTGTTAATTGCATTCTTGTTGTAGGGTTGGGATTGACACATCTATTATTTTACTGGATAGACTTCAGAATATAAAAGGCTAGATTCTTTGAATGCTTGTTGATTTTACTATGCTTTGTATTCTATTATGGCTAACCCATCAGGATTAGACATGATGATTAGGCAAAACCAAATTGTATCTCCACAAGGGAAAGCACTTGTGTCATTCATCTCAACATGCTCACCTTCAATGCTAACTCGTAACTATATTATTCATTTTATTATTTGCTGCAGATGCAGACATAGATTTCAAGTCACATCCTTATTGACGTGATATTACTTTTAGCGTGAATATAGTGATATACTCGTTGTGAAATCTGATATACACGACTCAGTGCATGATTTTGATTTTAAATTTTTTCTTGAAGCCCCCTTCCATGGAAATTTTTATTTTTAGGTTGTGGGCAGTGATGTTGTTGAATATTATTGTATACTTGATCAATATTGTGTTTATTTTGATGTTTAATTCTGTTTAATTGTTCATTTATGAATGATCAAAATTTTGATCATGCGGTAGTTTAGTTGTGAAGAAGCATCACAAATTATATATTAAATAATATTAATTAGTTTTTATGAATATAATATTTATTTCGATTAAAAGCTGCAAATAATATAAACCTTGAGTTTTTGAATTTATTTGTTATGAAATTAAAAAAAAAAATAAAAATATTTAATTAAAATTTAATTTTTTGATTTATTAAATTAAATTCATATTAAAATTAAAATAATAACAAAAAAAATAAATATATAAGTTATTAAAATAAAGAATTTAAATATATTATTGAAGGCGAAAATAATCAACTAAATTATGATATTATTTTTATGATTTTTTTTTTTTTTTTAAAAAGAAATATAAGAAAAAAGAGCAGAAGCGAAGAGAGCAGAAGCGAAGAAATGAATTAAAAAATCTCCACCAAAAAAAATAAAAATTAAAAAATGGTGGGACGGCGAAATTAAATAAATGATGTCCGCATTAAATGGGGCGTGGCAGATGGAATGATGGGATTTCGGCAGAGGGAATGATGGCGGGAAGGACGGTTTCTAGAATCGTCAGCTTTTTTTATTTTGTTTTAAGCTATAATTTAATTTTATTTGTGCGTTGTGAAGCTCCAGCTTTTGGGCGTTGGTTAATAAAA